GGAAAGTTAGAATGAACTTGTGACTTTAAATGAGCATCATTATTCCACAATACTGTGAAATTCGGGAAATTATGTAATCCCTTAATCACAATAAAAAAAAAAAAAAAGAACCTCGAGGAAGGGAGGGAGGGAAGGGATGAGGAAGGGAAGGAAGGAAGGAAGGAAGGAAGGAAGGAAGGAAGGAAGGAAGGAAGGAAGGAAGGAAGGAAAGGAAGGAAGGAAGGAAGGAGAGAGGGAGGGAGGAAAAGTCATATCTGGACACATTTAAAATCCCCCAGAGAAATGTTTGTGGTATATCTTCTGATTTATAAAGTCCTATCCACTTCTCCTTTCAAACTTTGAATTTTGGCAAATGATGTGTGCCCTCCCAGCTATATCTGTTTGAATTCTATTATTATAGGAGACCCATTTCTAAGAGTAGACAGGAAGCCAACTTTTAGCAGCCAAGTAGTGAATATATATACTTTGAAATTAACCCTGAAAAATCAGAAGTAAAACCCAATTTTATGCTTTGAAATGAATACTCATATTTTGTACTTTCACTGGAATTGAAGCTTTTAGGGTATGCCAATGGTTATTAACTAAGACATCGAATTTTGCTACAGGGACAAATCTCTTACCTAACCCAACCTACTATTTGACAGATTTAGGCATGCAGTGGAATGTTGTCATTCTTCTTTAATGTTTCTCTGAGGGAATTTAAACAGGGAATTTTAAACTGCTAGTGCAATATTTTGAAGTTCTGACACAACACCCCCATGGCATTATGTTAAATTTCAATGTACCCTAAAGTACTACAAATGAAGCTCATGAACACTGGACAACTTAAAGGAGAAAAATTCACCATGTTCCCATTTGGAATGTTTAAGGATGGGCCTGCTCTCCTTTTCTTCTCTTCATATTTTTAATTGAGTGACTAGGAATCTTTAACTAGAAGAGAATAATGTAATAAAGAAAATATTCCTAATAAAATTAATTTTATTTTTCTTTACAGTGCTGGGGATCAAACCCAGGGCCTGGTGGATGCTGGGCAAGTACTCTACCAATGAGTGACATTGAGCCTCCCAGTAAAGCTAACTTTCATTTAAATATAGAGGATTTTACTTAGCTGCTCTTTTCAAAGTTTGATTTTATTTTCCCTGAAAAACAATTTCTCCCTTCATCTTAAAGTGTAATGTGTTTTTTAAATCCAATATGCAAAATCTATCATTTTGATTACTATTGAAGTGACATAAATGATAATATCCTATTTATGCTCATGTTAATCTTCACAGCTAGAAGGAATTAAGGAATGAGATTCATTTTCATTTCTGTAAGAAATAAGACTGCAAGCTTAAATAATGACTTGATTACAAACACCACTATATGACTGCTAATAAGACTTGATCGATGAAATCTAATCAGTGTTATTTCTCAGTGGTGACTTCTTTTTATTTATTTCATTTTGGTTTTTTTGTAGGAGGTTTTGTTTATTAACTTTAAGTAGTTGTACAAAGGGATATCAGTTCAACATGTAAGTTTATTAGTATAATACATTTTGATTAATGTCACCCATTTTATCATTTTCCTCCACATCTCCTAATCCTACCCATCTCCTCAATTTTAAAATTAAGGCAGGACAGTCTAAAAGTGGGAAACCATCTTGTTGCAGTTATGAACACATGAATGATTCAGAAGCATTCTCATCTCATCTGTCACATAGCATGATATTAATATTAGAGCTGGTTGTAGAGATATAATCTGTGAAGGAAAATTATAGTCATCTGTAATATTACTGGATCACTGTCTTTTACACCATCCATTTCAGTTTCATCAAGGCTGGAACAGGAATCTCTGGCCCAAGTCCTAGCTTTGATCGATATACATCCATCAGTTTCCTCATCTGCAAAATGGGATTAATAGTAATTCCTGTGCTGTCTACCTCACAGGGCTGTTGTGAGGATCAAATGGGTTAGACTGTAAAGTGTAACCTGCTGTCCAAATGGGAGGTTACCATCCTCAGCTCTCCTTTTGTAGAGAAATTAAATGTATTTCTTTACTCGTGTGTGTGTGTGTGTGTGTGTGTGAGAGAGAGAGAGAGAGAGAGAGAGAAATGTGTGTTACTTTGAGAAGTATATTGTTTGTATCCGGTGACTTTGCAAATTTGCTGACAGCTGTAATTCTGATAAAGAGGTTTTCGCTGTGGCCTAACACCAAGCGAGGTGTAGGTTATGCCTATATGCAAATTAAACTTCGCCTTTCTTGAATACTTGGAAATCTCACTTCCTTTTATTTAGCAATTTCCCCATCTTTCTACATCATCTTCCTTCTTAACAATGAGCTCCTTCCATTATGCGTTTATTTCTGAAGTTGAAGTGAAAAACAGCTTAGAAGCAGCCCAAGTTCCAGGCACTAAAATATCAGGAAAATAACTAAAGGAGGGGCCATCGAAGATATAAAAGGTCATCTTTTATAACTCACTGTCCAGTCCTTAAATTGGTTCTGTAACATCCCCTGGCTACCACCAGGCAGCGAAAACCCACTACTGCCTGGAACAACTCAGCTCAGCCCATGGCAGTGCCACACTCTGAGCCAGCTGGGAAGACAAGAGAAGTTGCCAACATGGGTGAGGCCTGGCATGCCATCACTAGTGTTGACCTTGATGGACTCCTGTAGACCTCTCAGGTTGTGTCCTCATCTGAGAAGTAAGACTCACTCTCTACCCAGAATTACTACAGAGGTCACATGGAATAATATATACACAAACCCTTTATCTCTTGCCAACTAGAAGGTGATATCCTAACACTGAGAGCTGAAGGACACGGGAGACACAAGAATAAACTGAGGAGGCCCCCTTACCCTCTTCACTTCTGTTACCAGTTACCATGAGCAACCAAGGCTGCTTGGCCACCTTGCAGAGCATTGACGTTCAATCTGGTTCAATCTGGGCCCTGATCTAGCCATGCTTCAGTGGGATGCAGGAATAGAAGGACAGCAGATTTTCTTTAAATCAAGTGATATATCCCTATTGGCAAAAGTCAATCACATGGCCACACAGATGTGAGGCTGAAGGATGTGGACAACAATGAGAAATGAAAGGCACACACAGGAATGGTAACTGAAGAAGTGTTAGAAATCTAAAAAGTAGAGCCAAGGGCTTATGGCTCACACCTGTAATCCTAGCTACTCAAGAGGTTGAGATCTGAGGATCATGGTTTAAAGCCATCCCAGGCAGGAAAGTCCATGAGACTCTTCAATTAATCACCAGGGTTAAACCTGAAGTGGAGCTGTGGCTCAAAGT